TGTCACCTTTGAGATTAGGTGGAATGTCACCAGCTAGATTAGGTGGTTTCTCTCCTGCTAGATTTGGGGGCACTTCTCCAGCACGTTTTGGAGGTATGTCACCTGCTAGAGCTGCTGCAGTGGACCTTTCAACTAGAGATCTACCCCCTAAGAAGCACAAACATAAAGTGAAGCATAAAAAGAAGCACAAGGATGAGAGGAGGCACAAAAGCCCAGAAGATAATAAATCACAGTCAAAAGATAGTAAGGAGGACATACCACACCTACCAGATGCTACAGAACATGATGTTCCAATTGAAAACATAACACCAGATATACACTGGAACTCATCAGAAGTGAGAGAATCCCACTTAGAATCTTTACCACAAGCAGCACTAAATCAGATATCACACAGCTCTCAACCTGCATCCAACACTGGGGCTCCCATACAGTCATCACGACACAAACTCTCAATATCCATAAAAAGAGTCAGTAATGCCAGCTATGTGGCATGTGACTCCAGTCATTCTGATGGAGAGAGAACTGTTACACCAACTGTACCCAGTGGAAATGAAGATGATATCATTGAGGAAGCTCAGGGAGTTGTGTATAGTGAACAAGAGAGCAAAGATGAAAGACCAAAAGACATTTGTGAGAGTGTTGAATGTGGGAAGGATGTACCCTTAGATTTGCCTTTGCCATTTGATGGAGGAAATGACAGTGCAGTTAAACCCACAGAAATGACCGCACAGAGTTATCCATTGTTGACAGCACCCTCGTACTGTGTAGATACGCCAGAATCAATGATGCCTGGAAGTGATTCCCCAGGAAGTGATGAAGCTTGCAGTGGTGCAATCCCAGATTTCCCCTCCAGAGCACCTAACATGGATAGTTTAGAGGACCATCCCAGTGCTGCTCTGCTAATGAAGTTAAGCTGGCAGGAGGTGGAGAAATGTGAGCTTGATGAAGGCAGAATAATGAATGTTGGAGATGTTGTGTGGGGAAAAATCCATGGTTTCCCATGGTGGCCAGCTAAGGTATTTCATTGTTTATGTTTTGTTTTATATGATAATTTAGGTAACTTTAATTTTTTCTTCTCACATAAATTGATGTTTAGGATTGGAATTTTTGAAATTATAGCTTGAGGGAAAATCACGGGAAACTAAAATTACTGCTCTCTCTGTGGACTGGGCTACAGCATAAACAATATTTTAGGTATTGAGGCTAAAAATAGTCATATCACATGATCATATGCTCATATTTTTGTATATTAATGTCACGTCATTAGCAGTTAGCAGTCACTTTTATGAATTTTTTTTCCCCCATACTTTTCTTGATGAATTGTGACCATGATGACAATTTTGTCATCAAGATAACAGTAATAAAACTGATTCATATTAAATAGTAAACAGTATCATAAGTCACATGATTCCAATATTATATATCTTTGTAAGATCTAAATTGTAAAAAAGTTCAATGTTATATGAATTATGGAGTAATGTATGGCATTGAAATCAGGGACGTGGAGAGAGTCTTTTTAATTTATTTTATCCTGGATTTGAGAGCATGATGAGTTAGCATATGAATGATGTTTTTAAGTGGGTGAATTTTATTATTATGGAAGTAGGTAAATGTTATTAGTATGTTCAGGTAAAATAGTGAAAGGCAAATTGATATATCCAAATAGGTCAAAGCCATCCGGGAATTACGCGAAGGTGGTGGAGACACAAAATGGCAACAAGCGCACGTCAGTTGGTATGGCTCGTCAACATCTTCTCTCATGCCAGCCAACACTCTTCAGCCTTTCCTTCAGATGTTTAAGGTTGGTTAATGAGGCTATGATTTAAGAGTACACAAAAATTGACATACATGCACATACACTTGCCAGTGGATCATTACACATATGTCAACTTCCTACAAACAAGATCTCTCCTTTCAGACAGTGGTTTTGATTTTATCTGTATAAAAAAAACAAAAACAAATTGATAAAAGTGACTGAAAATCACAAATCATTGCTGCTAATATAGTTATTAAAAAAAGAAAAAAGAAAATAAGAGATTTGTGGATTTCAATATGTAAGAGTAAGAGTGTCTCATCTAACTCAAATTATTCTTGACTCATAAAAGCAGATGATTCCTATATAAATATTGAACTGTCTATATATGTTATATATCCATAGATATTAGTCCACTTTCATGTACCTGAAAGGAGATAGACAGACAGACAATTTGCTAGTAAAGCAGCCATGATTGTACAAACTCTTTGCTAATCACATATATTGAAAACCATCCATTCATAAATATTCTGTGAGTAATGGGATAGTTTTGTGACTTAGTCATTTTCTGTGCCAGAGGGGGCTACATAAAGACCTTCCTGCAACTGTGCCATGGCATATTTTTTTATTTCTGATTTCATTATATTCACTCATTGTCTATTATTACTGCCCCTTTTTCCCCCAAAAAAATATCTGTACACTTTTTCATGATTTTATTTAATAAGTTTTAGCAAGGGAGGTTTCTCCACATTACCAACTCCCCTTCACCTACCTACCTACCTACCTACCTACCTACCTACCTACCTACCTACCTACCTACCTACCTACCTACCTACCTACCTACCTATCTATCTACCTACCTACCTACCTACCTACCTCCCTCCCTCCCTCCCTCCCTCCCTCTCTCTCTCTCTCTCTCTCTCTCTCTCTCTCTCTCTCTCTCTCTCTCCCTCCCTCTTGCTTTTTCTTTCTTTCCTCCAAATTTCTGTCTGCACAGCTCACCAAAAATATGTATACGTACTAAATTCAAAAATGATTATTCCAGATCCGCTATAATAAGCGCAAACGAGGACCGTATAGAGAAGCAATAAAACAGGCAACCTGTGAGGCAGAGCAGATAAGTTCCCTCGATCCACAGCAAGATTTTCAGCATTGGCATCCTCCGCCACAGCAGACACCCATACAGACACAGCCCATAACACAGCAGCAGCAACAGCACCAGACTCCAGAGAACCTCCTTGGTGCATCTCCTCGAGAAGTGGATGTTGTTAGCTGAGACATACATAGAGCAACATTGATGATTTGCCTGTCTCTTGATGTAATGTTATGTTTATTTATTTATTACTACTATTTTTATAGTGAGGAGATATTTGATGAGTTATTTTTGCATTCCAGTGTTCCACTTCCGATGAAAGGGTTTCATTTTCCATTTCTTGGAATTAGAGATTCGTCCTCTAGCATTTTTCTTCCCGTATTGATCGGTCATTTTTGAGTCAGTTGCATTTCACTCCACCCTTTCCTATTTTGCTCACTAGTAAATTTCATCCGTGTTTTCAGAGTGATATGGAACATAACCTTGGTTCCAGTAGCCAGTGTTAGAGGTCAGCTCTGTTAATTGAAAACTGTGAATTCTTCCCATTCATTAAGACATCTGTTATTGATTTTCACTTTTTGCTTTTACATTTTTTTTTTTTTTTTCTTGTATTTTCATTTCTTTTTATTTATTTTTTGAAGTCCTTTTCAGGAGCTTATTACAGTATGTATATACAGAGGCCTTTTCATGATAACCTTGATCAAACAATCTGAGAATATTATTACATTAGGAGGGCAATTTCATTCTGCTTGCAATGCTAGCAAAAGAGACTGTATGGAAAGCATACACACACACTCGAACACACACACACACACACACACACACACACACACACACACACACACACACACACACACACACACACACACACACACACACACACACACACACATACATACATACATACATACATACATATATGTATACACAATACACACAAAATATGGCACTGAATGTTGGCAATGTTGGCTGATATTTCAATATGGTAAATAGTTATCATTTTATTTTTATTTTTATTGATTAGGTATTTCTGATTTTGATACGTTGTTGTTTAGATACATTGTTATTTCTCTAATTTTCATTCTTAATCATTTCTCAGTATACCATAAGTATATTTTTTTACATTTATTACAAAGACTATTGCATTTTTTATTATCATTGTTATCATCAATATCATTATAATGATTATATTCATCTTTCCAAAAGCTTCCATCATTCATAGAACTACCAGCACAGCATTATCACCATTAAGCTTTCTTCCTTTTTTGTTTTTGATATAATTGCTTTTATTTCTAGTTATTTTAATAATAACTTCCTCCTCCTCCCACCTCTCCTCTCTCTCCCCTCCTCCTCAAGTTTCACTTTGAAAGATTGCAAAATTAAAGTTTTCTCTTCAAAGACATGGGTTTGAAGCTGTAAACAGGCAAATAGTGTACAAATATATTTGCCTTGCAAGCTTTAAAAAATTTGCCTTACGTGAAATAGAGATGCACTGCTTTGATGTCAGAAAAATAGGCCTACCATAAAATGGCATCATTGACTCTGCATAACTTAGTAGCCTTCTACAAAATATACATTTTCCTCAAATTCCAAGTAACTAGAATAAATGATAGATACAAAAATGAAATAAGATAAAGTAAAATGAAACAAATAAAAAACTTGGTTTCAAGTTTCAAGTCAGTATGTATCTGTTACTATTGGTTCAAAATAGATTTTTCACATGTTGCTTAATATCACAATGTGAATAAGCACTATTTTATAATATATAAAATACAGTATTTATTTCTGTGTTGATAAGGTGACGCTGCCATGCTTTGCACCTTTGCCGGCATTGTGAAAATGCCTCAGTGCTGGGATTCCTAGTAATGATACTTCATCAATAAGAGGGTTTTGTTAATTTTTTAGATCACTGCAAGCAACATATTCAGCACAAAAAATCCTCAGCAAGCCTATATTTTACTTTTCTTGAGTCATCATCAGTTTCTGGATGTGCTGAGCACAGTGGTGGAAGGACCAGGGAGAGGAAAGAAGGTGGCAGGCAGGAGGGCAGGAGAGGCGAAGGGCTTGCTCGGGGAGGTTTGCCGCTTGGACTTTCTTCATCTCTACTCCTGTCTCTCCTCTTCTTTACTAATTCAATGTCTTTTGTATTGTTGTGTTACTTTTTTTCTTTATTGTGGCATGGCTTGCATATTTAGGAAAAAAGCAAAGAATGTATATCCACTTATTAATCATTCTCTATTGGCAACTGAATGTGACTGACATGCATACTCCCTCCCCCTTTTAATTGTTGCTTTTTGCAACTGTCTTGGGGGTGATCCATAAGGTCACATATCCCATGAATTCTAAACATGAAAACATCCACATGTCCTTGCTTCCTCCACACACATTACCAGAAACAGCTTTCTCAAGTTTTTTGTTTGTTTGTTTGTTTTGTTGACTAGATATGTAATTTAAGATAGAGTTTTGTAATTCAGATTTTGATTTATTATGCCAAAGTAATCGGTTTCCCCGTAATCATTCAATATAAGGATTAAAGTACTGAATCAATATGGAATATATTGTGTTAATATAAACAAGTTCAATTAAGTTATACTAATAATAATAGTGCCATAGATTTTTTAGACAGGCAAGTAAGGATTATTTGCTGTTAAGGAATAATTTTCATTGTGATGGAGAAGCAGAACCTGGAGATGTGATGCTCTTTAGGGCCAGTGAAGAATACATTTTAGTTGAAGGATAATTAAGACTTGATTCTATACAGTGGATAACAGACGGACATGAGACATTAGATTCAGTGATGTTCAATGATTGCACAGGAGATCCTTGGTCTTAGTAATAGCTACTCAGCAGCTGGGGTGCTTCAAATGCAAGGTGTCTCCTGTCGCCTAGGTCTCACTGGTTGACTGGTGTGAGAAAGTAAGCTGCAGTTTTTCCCCTTTTAGAGTTTGTATATAGGAACTTAATGGTAATTGATAATGTTGATGTGACTTCAGCAAAGATATCTAAAAATATCAGGGCAAGGATGTTTTTTGATAGGTAGCTAAGATATTAAAAAGCATAAACATTGATGTGAGGGATCAAACAGCTCTTAGATGTTCTAGAAAGGTTGTTTAGGAATGCTGGGCAACTGGCTGCAAAAAAGACAATAATTATGAGACATGGTATGTCTCTAGATTCTGTTGCACAGAAACAAAATACATTACCTCAAAGACTTAACAGCAGCCAGTGAAAGTAAATTACCTTTGTCAAGGGTAATTCTTCAAAAACTGGAAGAAAATGGGAGAAAATATATTTTTAGACAGGCTTATCATAAACTAGGTTAGGTAAGTTTCATAAAGGGGCTCTTTTGCATGTCAATTATATTTGAATAAAGATTACTAGAACATTTTGGTTAAGACTAAGAGACTTCTGAAAACAGTATTCATATTCTAAGTATTCAGAATTTATAGATATCCATTTATTCACCTACTTCCACCCTGTACGCACTCTCAACTATGCAATACTGTATTTTAGTTTGTTGTTGGATTTTTAAAAAACTTTATATGATAACAAGAGAATTTCTTCACTGTTGGTTAGTAATATATATGTATATATTTTTTCTATAGACAGTTTGCCTCCTTATATGCTCCAGTGTTTCAGTATTTTGAGAAAAAGTTATGGGTTCAACTGAATTATATGTTGCATATGCAGTTCACTAATTTCTATGCATCACTGGCATATTTACAGCTAGTCTGGGTCTGCTAAACTTGCATGCCTTTCCTAATAAGTGTAAAATAATGAAAACAGTGGCTTACACTGTGACATTACTAAATATTTTGTTACAATATTAGGATCTATACTACCACAGCTATTTTTCCTTCCATGCTAGAATAGCCGCATTCATTTATGACATGATCAAGAATATATTTATATGCATACACCCCACCCTCAGTTGCAGCTAGAAACAAAGTAGAAAATTAAAGAAAATACTATAGATATCTAAATAGAATACCAAGAACTAGTGCTCTTGTCTTTCTCTTCGCATGAAAATGTTTCCTTCCGCTCATCATCATTTTTAGCCCAGTTCATGCTAGGTAAAATTCAAAGTAAAGTTTGGTAAGGCCAGGGTGGATTATTACCTACACTCAGGTGCACAAGCCATCATCCCAGTAATTAGACTCATGACATTAGGTATCACCCTGCCTTTAGGAGATTTTGCCATAGTAGGATAAAGCATCACCTGTCATGAATGGTTTAAACACAGGGACTGTACAGTAAGTTGATTATATTTTGGAGGTCTTGCAGTTTTAAGTGATTGAATTTTGATATCCTTTGATGCTATATGTCAATCTGCCAAATTAAGTACTGCAAAATAGTTTAATTTGACAAGGCTTACAACTCAGCCTAGTGGAGCCCCAGTTTCTGTAACTAGGATTACTACATTATGATTTGTATAATTATTGTCAGTTAATATTATTCATTACCAATACATCCTATTGAATATTAAAATGATAGCAAATACATCCAGAGTTGGCAATTTATTAGTGAAATACACTCAGTAATTAATAAACACTAAATTGTATTTTACATATATATATACACATATACATAGATGTACATATATACATATATATACATACATATACATATATACACACACACACACACATACACA